TAAAGGTCTCGGTATTTGTAAGGGGCCGGAGTCCTCATTAAGCTTGATGTAGAAGCTCCTCAAAAGTCAACCTGTTATCTGTCAGGTCCATCCATCAAGGCCAGGATCCACTCTGATGAGAGTCTCTCTATACCTTCTCAAGATGGGGTTCAAAGTCTCAAGTCCTCAACTGTCTGTCATTTACCAAGACCTAAGTCTAGTGTACTTGAAAGAAGCCTCCTCATTTCATGTGTGTCGGGTCTTTATTCGGGCAGTCCAAGTCTTTGTGTGCGTTATTGCAAATCAAATGAGGATACTAAAATTTTCACAACGGAGCTTTTATGAAGCGGAGGCCATGGGATGTAGTCGAGTACATCACAAGTCCCTGAAAAAGTCCTCCAGTCCCAATTCAACTTGCAACCTTTTCAAATGAGCTTTGACAAAGGCATCCCTTTGTTATTGTTCATCCACTGTTACTTGTGATTTATTTGTGACTGGACTTCAGATGGTCTTGATTATATCCCTGGCGGAGGCATCTGAAAAACTCAACGAAAAATGATAAGATATTGTCACTGTAAAAATGTAAGAAAATGGGCGTGTGTAGTATATGTAACTTCAGATAAACAAGATGCGAAATAAAACTATTTCCTTTTTACAATAAAGTGTAGGTGACTTGAACTGTTTATTTTGACTCTTTCTTGTTGCAACATGTTTTAACAGGAAGTAATTAAGTGACAAGAGGTGTTCAAACAAACTAAAACTACAAGCAAGAACCCTCTAGAGTGATTTAATGGGAACTGCCCTCATCCTTGCAAATTCCAACACCATGGTATGAAACTCACATCCACCAAACGCTTGTGTTGGAGTTTGGCTGGATGGGGATCGTTAGGATTAATTAATGTAGCCATGCATTTGCATTGCTATAAGGCCATGATTTTCAATAATTGAGATTCTGTTTCCAGGACATTTATAAAGCTAATGTCTATGTTTCGGGCATTTAAGAATTCTATGTCTTTTTTGAAATTCTGCAATTAATTGGTCTTTCACTGTACTTGGGTTTTACCACTCTGTCATTTCATAAAGCTGCTGAGGTCAGCTCTTTGCATTTGGGTCCCTGCCAGGCCTCGGGAATATGTTTTTCTTTTCTGAATCAAAATTGTGACATGTATCAGGCAGGTCCCCCTGGGGAAGACGAAAACAAGACCAGGGATATGTGGCATTGTGGGTGAATCTTGTTGCTGTGTTTCGATTGGCCTAGTCCCGTCTCCGGAGGGCTCTCTCCAAGCATTGTCTCGGTCTCAAGGAAAAGAAACCACGGGTGCAGATGACAGACAGGATACCCCACATGGGAAATATATTAATATGAGTGCAAGCTGCGGCGCGGCCGGTCTACGTGAGTGGACCTATAATTTCTCATCTGTATTACGTCCGCCAATCGCTAGTGCGGACTGAGGAGACGCTGTCCCCGGTGACTCGCGGAAACCGCTGAAGGCTTGTAAGGGAGGAAAATGTCAAAGTTGATGCCTCTGAAACGGCAGGGCCTCGGGGCAACATTTGCTCCCCGGCGCGAAACGGGAAATGCACTGGTTGTTTCCAAAATCCCGCCTGTCAGCCAGGGATTCTGGACGAAATTTGATTGAATTTAAATGAAATTTCCCCGCGGAATTTAGCGCTCTCGTTTTTTTTTTCTGTCCTCGTGTTTTTTGTTCGCCACCTCGAAATCTGGCCAGATTAAAGATTTTCTGCGCAGGCGTCGAGGCTGAGGTGACACACTTTGTGGTTTGTACACTTAACGGTGCTATCGCATCACCGATGGGTCTTTAGTTGGAAAAGTGAAAGTGAAGAAAGAGTCGGCGTGGATAAGCCTGTTGATGGAATTGGTTTTTGCGTATTCTAATGTACGGGGCTGCGGTCACCACCAGCGCAGACTTGACAGCCAATCAGCATAAAGCAAAGGTTTACTGTACTTATAATCAATTTGTCTATTGAGCTGGGTATTTGTGTTATTCCTGGGCTGTAAGTCCTTGCTCTATGGTGTAATAAACTCATATATATGGTAAAAGGGGGAAAAATAGTATATCCAAGAAAGATATAGTTGCAAGAAAGTGTAAACGACGTCGTTTTTAAGTTGGACATCAGTATTTCAGTACATCATCGTTCTATTGTTTCTTACACTCAGTAGTAATTAGTTGGCTCATTTTCGTTCCATGTACATATTTTTTTGTCGAAACTTTTCCCCAAGGATTGGACTTGGGTCGTGCAGCATCCTTGTGTAGAGCCCCCCCCTTCCCGCCCCATCCCTTCGCTTTGAAGTCTGATGTCTATGGTCTGACCAACCAAGGAAGTACGCCACAACACCTTTGAATATTGATTCTTGGTTTTCGTCTCGGTTGGCATGCATGCAATCTGTATTATTTGCCCGGCCCGACAGTCGCCTTCCACCGTCCCGCAATCAAAATCGCAAGGAGTATAAACCTTATGTACCCGGGCTAGTCTTTTAATTTGTTCAGCATCGATTCGGGGGGAACGAAGCAACCACCGTGATCTATCCAATCGGCTGAAGCAGTGCACGGGGCGTATATAATGACGGCCGAGCGCCAAAGTACACGCGAGATGAGACTCGGATTGGAATCATTGTATATTGTGTGCATGCTCCCGTGCATAGTTTCACATTGCTCATCAAAAACGATTCCCAACCACCAAGCAGACTTATACATTGTATTCAAGATTCTACCGTGGATAGCACCCGTGAAATGCTGTCTTACTATTTATTCATCGCCCACCCTTTTTCTTGCCACAAAACAAGTGGTTTTCTCAGGAAATGTATTGTCTGATTATTTGGCCTTCGTTATAAAATTTATATTATAATGTCAGTTAGAAAAAAATCTGAATCATGTCTGCAAAATGTTTCTTGCCTTTCAATACATTCTGTTCAATTTAAGCCTTAAAAATGGCACCTAATATTATTTGACCAACATGAATATCACCCCAAAAATATAGCGTTTTATAGCTCCATTACACAGTTCTGGAACTATCACATGTTAGCCAGGTCATCGAATCGTTTAATTCCAGTCCTGCATTTCGCGAACGCCGGTCTGACTAAGTCACTGCACGAGTTAACGAGATGTATCAAGGTTGGCCAATAGAAAGAGCGCGCTAGACATCGACAACAACCAAACCACGCCCATCACTGCTAACCGTGCATGTACAATGTACACGCACGTAGATAATACACTAGGCCTATTCAATGCGTGTGGTGGTGTGTGTGCGTGCACACACACAGTCTAGCAAAATAAACGGCTGTTGTCTGATTCCGCGGAGATCCGTGACTGGTTCGAATTTCAGGTCTGCCCGTTACGAAATCGCCCCTTTGTACCGCCAGAATTTTTCTAACCCCTTGATGATATATTTCCTCCGTCTGTTTGGCTCGTCACCAACCGCTGATTGTCAGAGCTGGTGACTCCGTAATGACATGGATGGATGGATGAGGGGGCCAGGGTTGGAAAGGCTCCATGTTCGAATGGCGAGACTTTTAAGCGAGGGAGTAATAAACTCCTGATTATGAATGCATGGACGGAAAAGACTGAGCCGCATTTTTTACTTCATATTTTTTTTTCGTCCGAGTTGTGTTTTATTAGACGAATACTGCCCGAGGCCTTTTTTTTATTTAATGCATGCCACACACTTGCAATGGGACCTGGATCTCCCAGTGCTTGGCGACTGGCTGCATTGTCCAGTGTATAATTTACCCAATTAAGTTTGACGGCTATCCGCAGCGGCCAAGCTGTGTAACAAATCAAGCGGGCAACACGGCAAGCCACCAACCCGCCCAAGCGGTTAGATCAATTTCTGCATATCCAGAACGCCTGTAATAGATGAACCGTTGATAAATAAACGAGGACCAGAATCAAAGCAACAAACAACTCGTTAATATTATAAACAGTTCTGTTACTAGAATATCTCTTTAATCGCATTGCTTGCATGTTAAAAATAGCAGATTTTGTTTAGATTGTTACTTACGTTCATTAACATGTCTGGAATTTTGAAGGTTTTAGATTTTTTTCATTACAAAAACGTGTGTGTTTATGCATAGAGCAAGGATGGTTTATGGTTAAAAAAAATGTTAATTCCAAGTCTTGGTCTCGAATTAATGGGTAATTCCACTGCTATCTGAGTTTGTTTCCTACCCCTCCATGGTCGAAAGAAGTAAATCACCAATCTACAATAACGGTTGAACTTGAATATGAAATTTAGCCAGTTTATGTCGGTCTGTAGCCCATGTTGTTGACGGAGCACACGTATACTCTCATGCATAGACAGGTTCGTGTTGGACTTGATATTCGTTGAATGATATTAATATTGTCGGTTATTTGAACAACTCTCGAACCATGCCCGGGACTATATACGATTTCAGGTGGTAACATCGTGAATATCAAGCGCGCAAACAAGATTTGATTGGTTTGCAATCTGCACAAGCTTTTTATTTTCCCCCTGCCCTGGCCCCTCGCGCGGCTGCCATGTTTTTTCATGGCTAGTCCGCCATGTACATTACTGTAGCGCAGATGTTTATTTTTAATAAATGAGGGCGAGGGAGAGGTAGCGCCCCGCCGCACGGTTTCTAGAAGGTCTTATCATTCTAGTGTGGCAGCCAGGCCCTTAGGGGAAGGTGATAATTTTCCTTTCTTTGTGCGGGGTTGGTAATCCCGCTGGGACCTGACTGTTTCCCGGCCCCAGCCTAAGAATACACAGCTGACTCAAAAATCAGCTCAAAACCCGTGTACTAACAGAGTCCGCTTGCATGCCCGCATTCCGCGGATAAGTGGTGGGCGGGACCTCCGCTAATTTGTCAACGGCTGAACCACGTTACCCATGCCGGGGCCGATCACCGACGAGGCGTGGCTAACATCCCGTGCCTTGTTTTGATTGGTGGGCCTGAGCAGAGTCAGCTACTGTGCGCGTCTTGTCGGTGACTTGCAGCTCTCTCAGTGGTCACGTCTGATTGCTTTCAGTGATACGGCCAATCAATTATTTTCCATATATGGTTATGTCATTTGGCTCTTTGTCGAGCGGCGTTGAGATCACTTTGTGTGTGTGGTATCTTAACAGCTTGTCTTTTTTTTCCTCGGACCATAATTCGGTGAAATTTTGCTCCTTTTCCTGATGTGAAAAACGTTGGAAATTGTGGCGGACATCCTGAGCAGCACCGCAGACTCACCCAGCGTGGAATCCACCATGTTATCCCGTATTTTCTAGCAGGAATTTACATTGGGATCGTACTGTTTCGTTGGATGGTAAATCGCAGTGATCGCAGTGTACATTGTGGATACGTACGTACGTTGAGCGTCGCGTCGTGTGTGAATATATCGCAGGGCACGGGACCTCATTCGGCGCGGGTCATCCAATTCACTGGGAGATTTCCCGGCGATTCTTTTACCTCAATCTTTCCGGTGGATCATAATTAAGCCATGTACCCGCAAAGCAGACATCCGGTAAGTAAACATGTTACCCCATTTCTTGAATTCAGCGTGGGCAAAAGAATGTAAAATCGTCTTGTTTTCAATGACCGTTTTCAGAGACGCTACATTTTCGATCAGCCGGATTATCCCCAGCGCCCACACAGCATCACGTGTTGTTGGTTTTGCTCTATGTATTGATCAACGTGTATCATGTTTGGAGTGCGAAGTTTGTTTTTTTGGTCATGTTAATGCGGAACCGGGACCGATATTCTCAGTCAACACTACAACTGTTCGTTCATTTAGTATATTTATGAGACCAAACGGGGTATTTTGGGCTCTTTATCGTTAGATTGCGTGAATTGTATCCACGTGTACTGAATATATTAAACAGTATTGTGTCATTACTGCGCATAGTCCTAGCCATTTATTGTGCTGTCTACGTACGTGTGCGTGTGTGGCATTGGCCATAGGCGGTAGGCTATGCATACCCCAGTACTATAGATAAAGTGCCCATGGGGTAAGGATATTAGAAAATGACTAAAACCTGGACAGTGCCTCTACTTACTTTCTAGTTTCTTCCCTGGCCCTGTCATTAAAACAGCTAGTAAAATGCCAAGTTGTGGGGTTTCTACAGAACCAATTTCTAAATGCACAGTGAAGTTAACAATAGCCAGTTGTTATGCTGCAGGCCGATAGGGCTGCATGGAATAAATGTAATTACCAAGCGATTTCCTCCTTCAACCTCTAATTGTCCACTCTGATTTATTATGATGCTCCACACAGGCGCCTCACCAGCCCGGTCAGCCTTTCAAATTTACAGTGGCAGAGTCGTGTGACCGCATCAAGGAGGAATTCAGTTTCCTCCAAGCCCAGTACCACAGGTGAGAGGTCGGCCGCATTGGAGGTCAAAAGGTCAAGAGCCTGACTTCTGTTTGGGGTGGAGTGTTTCCTTGAAGTGTAAAGTGCACCTTTTGAAATCGGAACAGGGAATGATTGTCCCATGAATGTATTGTATAATTAAATAACTTATCTTCAAGTTGGTCAGTTGTTTAGTATTTTTATTCCTCCAGGATATTTTGTAATTGATGTTAACACAATAGCACTTGTATTACATTGTACCACACTGTATTCATTGATGAATCCATAAACCCATTGAGTGCTTGGGCAGTTTGGGGCACTGTCAACTATAAAGGAGTAACATGCAGGGGGGTTTGGGGCCGGTGTCACATGAAAATCCGACTCCTATGAAAATCGGACCCCTATTTCCCTATTATTGGTTGATCCCTCGCACGTGACAGGTCACTCTCCCGAAACGATCCTAAAAATAGCTTAGTATCGTACCCACGCGTGCGCAGTACTACCAATGAGTCTACATTTCATGGAGTCGGATATTCACGCTACACCGTCCTTACAGGGATTAATGGGTTGAGAATCACACAAAAACATTGAACCATTGTTTATAACTAAGCTCGATGATAACCAACTTGTTTATCAGGCCCAACTGAAACCCAATGGACATAAGTTGTCAAACGAAGTTATCTTGGGGAATTTTATTCCCAAAGTGAGCGCCATACATTGTATTTAATCAATCTAGGTCATAGATAAAGCTCAGACTTTGGCAATGAAAGCGTCACCCTGTTTTCTGTGCATTTTTCTATTGGCGGTATTGCTGTATAGTTGAGTCTGAATTCATTATTCATTCAAAAAGGTTCACCGAACTGGAAAGTGTGTCTGCTCCCCAAATAATGCGAGAAAAAGAAAAACTTTTTCCACGGTTGACTTGCAAGCGGATGAATACATCTATTCCAAATTATGACAACTGAATGGTTGGAACTGTGATTGATGTGCTTTTTACCCATACAGTAATAGGTTAAAAAAAAAACCTTTTGTTGTGGCGCTTTCCATCGATGAAACCTTCCCACGAGATCGAGTCAAATGAAAAGCTAACCCAACCTTATCGGCCATTTCCCTTAACTAAACAATAGTTTATAAATTCTAATTTTCTGTCTTTAGTAATAAGTCAACAAAACATAAGTGTCGTAGAAACATGGTTATTTATTGTGTACAATGTTGATAGTTGGGTCATTTAATCATGATAAACCAATTGAGATTTTGAACCAGAAATTCATTTTAAAATGAAGTGGAATTTGTTTGTGGCATAACTATATTTTCAAAACTCTGATAAATAAATCTACATCAAAAAAATAATGGGTTTTTTTTTCAGGGATTTGTAATGAGTTCATATGAATTATTTTTGGATGATATTCTGAAGTCATTTTTTTAAATAGACTTGTTGAAAGAAACTACAATTATTCTATTTCTTTGTGATACTTGAGTATCCTGTACCATCCTTCGATGCACAAATATTTTCGTTTCTATTGAACAAAAATACTGAATTCCCATACTAGTCTTCTTTTTTCACGGCTGAAAATGAGACCAACAAAAAAATTTTCCCTCCTTTTTTTAGAACACCGCCAGCCACATGTGGCATATCAAATGGTCAAGGAATGTCAGATGAAATTTACAACCAGCCATTTACAAATCATTGAGGGGAGAGTGTTTCCAGCAATAATAAACATTGTGGGGCCCCAGGGGGTGGAACCCACTGCAGGCTGAGTCAGTGATTGGTAATTTGACCAATTCCCAAACTGCATGGGGGCTAAAGGGGCGGGGCTTACTGGGCTCTGGTGAACCGGCATTGGCCCCCCTTGGCAGTGACTACCAAATGTTGAATATTCATGAGAAAAGTTTTTGTTGGTGGTGGACTGTGTTTGTGCTTGTACCTGCACAATCATGGATGTGAAAATGTTTTTCTTTCAGGCCAAGGGAAAATAACTTGACTTCAGATATGCTCCATAAAGTTTCATTATTCCGGAAATAGTGTTCAGTACATGAAACTAAAAAAAACATTTGGAAATGTTATTCCAGGGTTGTTGAAATACAGTAGTGTAACAGTTTTGATAATTTTTTTTTTAGTCTGAAAATGGAATGTGAAAAGCTGGCTCAGGAAAAGACAGAAATGCAGCGGCATTATGTCATGGTAAGTATGTAGATTAGTTTGTTTCATGTTGTTTATATGTATAGGCTAGCCCTCTCCCCCCCCCCCACCCCCCCCCCCCCCCAAAAAGGAAACCCAACTTTCGATAATAAAGAAATAAAAGCATTCAAGAAATTCTACTTTTATTGTGTTTCTCTAGTTTTCGTCCAGTCATGTAAATGCTGCCAAACATATATGGCACATGGTTCTTCCTAATCATGTGTGCACACAGACTGAACCATTGGGCAAAAATTTACGCATTCCAATTAGAAGAAAAACCAGCACACAATTTCTAAATCAAACAAACCGAAAAAAAAGAAAAGAAAAGAGATAAGTCTGGGATCTAGAAAGCCCCAGGCTGCGAAAAATCAATATTTGTTAGTGAACCATTTGTCACCCAGACTCCGAGGTAAACAAACATTTCCAAGGAGCAATTTGAGCGTGCATAAAATATCCATGAGTAATTAATGAAGACCTTTATCGCTTAGCCGAGCCTGTTTATTCCGTGTCCTGCCAATTATGAAACCGCTCAATTTTAATTGCGTGCCAGAAGCGTTAACCTGAAAAACCAACTGTACATTGAGGATTTTTTTTCTTTCTTTTTTTAAAAACCTGGGGTGAAGTCATCCGTGAAATCAACTTTGCGTCAAACTACCCTCACTTTGAAAATGAAATATAAACAACAAGGTCGATGGGATCTGCTGCACTCTTAGAATGGCTTGAGAGTTGCCCAAACACTGTAACCAAATAGAAAGTGCAAGAACCCATTTCGAAAAACCTGTCTAGTTATTTGTTATAAAGCTAATATGTTGACATTTTTACAAAGAATTTTATTTTTAGATTTTGATGTCTTAAAATGAAATGCATTGTATGATATTCATCTTGTCATAAATGTTAGCATTTTAATATAAACACTTTGATGGGCACTCTATAATTATTTGAAAAAAAACTATAACACTTAATACAATGTAAAAAATCCTTGAATGTATCCATTTTGTTACAATGTATAATTTTATCAAAATGTGGTATCCCCCCCCAATTTTTTTTTTTTTTTAATACATTGTACACATTAATACAAAGTTGATAATGTCAAACATATGATTTCTCGAACTGCAGAAGGATGTAATTTTCTGCTCCAAATGGCAAAGAATGAGTTTATTCCTAGACATCAACTTGCAGATGCCATCTTTGTTTTCCTCTTTAATTAAATTGGAACTCTTATTCTACATTTCTGAATGTGAGTGATACTATGATAATTGTACAAAAAATATATAATGCATTTTTCCATTGTGTCTTTTTCATTGTACAGTATTACGAAATGTCGTATGGGCTGAACGTGGAAATGCATAAACAGGTAAGATTTGTGCATTTTTTCCTTCATATATATAATTTTCTTCAAAAAAAAAACCAGAAAAAATGATAAGCAATTTTTCCTGATTCCCTTTGATCACGTGAAATAAAGAAATTTTCAAAGATTTGGTTGAAAGGTTTTGAAATATATTTAAAGCAATTTTTGTAAACCATGGTTTTTACTCATAAAATGTGACCAAAATTCGACACAAATAAGTGGATATTAAGAAACCGTCGCATATTTCACTGAAAACTACACAAACTAATGATGGCTTGTATCGTTTGATGAATACAATGTGCCATGTTATTGTTAACAACGCAACAAAGGGCTCGTTTTTAGGAGGGGGGGGGTGTGAATATCGTGCATAATTTCTTGTATGAATGAGCAGTTTTGTGTTTTCCCTAGCTGGTCAACTGGACAGGTATACCTTAACATCCCGAATTTCCTGTATGTGTCAGTATTTTCCCACTTGAGTCTCTCTGCTCACCAAACGGCTTCCAACCGATCCGTAGGCCTCTAGTTTGTCTCAGTAAATGCTATGGTTGATTTCCGTCAGTGTTTCTCCCTCCCCCTCCTCCCCCCCCCCCAACCGCCGATTGATCAGGGGGGCCTCTGACGATTTCCCCTTATCTCCCCGCGATGTCTGTAATTACATTGGCTGTCATCCGCGCGCCAGGGTAGAGGAAGGCAGAACGCAAACCACTCCTGTCAACCACTGACCCAATTCAATCACGGCAGCGGGGGAACCGGGGAGAAAAAAAATATTATGTAGAGGTGGTGATGTGTGTTGGCTGCGATAACCGTAACAGAGAGGTGTGTGCATGCTCCGGAAACCAGCCATAATGAGCCCAAGGAGAAGACCGGGATGAAATCACGGGGGGTCAAAGGTCGCGTACGGGCCCCTGCGTATTCTTCAGTGTTTGAGGATCATAGCACAGCCTGAACAAAGCAGAGATGTTTGGATTGGTGGGATGTAATGAAAGACGGCTTGGAATCCCCGCCAGTGTTTGGAAATGCATGCGTGTCAGAGTTGAATTCCATCGATTAACTGTGCAGGATTGCCATCTCGTGGAAAAGTAGAATGCACCGTGATGGCAAATCCAATACTTCTAAAACCAATATTGACAGGCTTTGGATTTGAATGGCGCGCAAATAGCCTCTCACAAGTATAAAGGTGTTGACACAGTATGCTGCCCATTCCCCCTTACTCCGCTTCTGCGAACAGAAGACAATTTACTCCAAATGTCAAATATTGTATCTTTTTTGGCTGATGAACTTTATAATATTAATATATCTAGCAGCGGTGGTTTCTTTTTTTTGCATTGTATTTCCTGACTGTAAACTTACCCACGTTCCATATTGTGGCGAAAAAGAAAATCAAAAAAGTAAATCAAGTTGGCCTTTACAGCAAGACTTAATTAAGAAATCATCGTCAGTATTTTATTTGGTTGATTAGTGAACCAGTTGGGCAGGCAAGAATTTTTTTTTCTTGTTTGGTCGCTTTTTGTTTTTTTGCCTGCGCATGAAGCCGAGGGTAAATCTAATTTGGCCATTTTGACAAATCTTGTGCAAATTAAGTTTTGGAGGGCAGCTGCCTAATCAGGTTTTGCTGATGTAGATGTTCGAGGCTGAGCTGGAAAATGTAATTACACACTTATTGGCCTACAGTCCTGGGTAGACCTCTAGTTAAAGGGGCTGTCTTGTAGCGCTGTGCCGAATATACATGTACCAAATTGACTGATTTGAATATTCAATCATCAAGTGAATATCCGAAAACATGTATGTTGTCGATTCGAATATTTGGAAAATGTAAAAGGTCTGTAGGAGATGATGAAATACGTCCACGATTTTCTTTCAATCGTATTAGTTGTGTGGTTTTATTGTGTGTCAAATGCCACACTCTTTCCAAAATCCAATTTCGCACATGATTTGAGAGCTTCCATGAAGAATATTAGCTCAAATTTTTACTTTAAAGTGTCAGCCATTCCACTACCTCCTCTGTATCACTTTAACAAGATCTTTGTAAATTTTCGACAACCGCATTAGCACGCAAATCTTGATCAGCAGCCAGTAGGCTGGCTGGTGGTAGTTAAACTTGATTTTAACGTGTTTTGAATATTCGAATACTCGATCAAGTCCACATTAGAATAATCGAATACTAAATTATTTGAAAATGCACAGTCCTACTGTACTGTCTTGTCATATAATTTTTGAATGGCAGAATTCCACACCCTTTGCCCTAAACTGTGGCCTCTTGTGCATTGTTCACACCACACATTCATCCTCTTCAAATAATTTATCCTACTTGGTATTTGTGTTTGCCATTTGCCCACTGCAGTGAACAGTCGTATAATAGCCACAGAAAATGATGTTGTTTAAGAAACACTTGCGCAGACTTGTTTCATCAGCTCTTTTCAATAGTAGATGAAATTCCTCCTCCTATTTGTCTTAAAGTTTATCAGCAATAAGGTACGTAATGTTTTTAAGGATGTCCATGTGTAAAGTTTGCCTCATAATTGCGCACTCATGACACCAGTGGGCCACTCTGCCACACACACTTACGCCTCTCCAACTTCCCATTTGTAACCGGACCCATCCTCTTTTTTTTCTGCATGCGCCACCTTGTGAAATGGCGGCGAAATTTCTCGCACCCTCTGCAGCGCCTCTGTGGGCGACGGGCCTGTGTCAACACAGACACAACCCATCGTCGTCAGTCGTAGGAGTCAAAGTGAAAGGCGCACTCGGTGATGCGGCTGGGACTACGTGTTCCGTGACCATCTTTGGTCCCATCCAGCATACACCGTATACACATGTATATTGTGTATCGGCGGCGCTGTGTTTTCATAGTGTAGCCACGGCCCTTGAGATGGCTTGCCATAAGAGTGCTCCACGGATGCCGAGTATGTACACCCTGCGTACAAAGATAGCTTGATTGACATTCAAGCACCATTAAGACGTGCAGTGCAAACCTAGAACCCACGTCAGTCCTACTACACCAACACGCACATCCATGCCAATTACACTCCAGCCGTCTTCCTGAATATTACATGAGCTCTCTTTTTTTTTCCCCCTTTCCTTTTTATTTTCTTCAGCTCTTAAGTATAATTGCATATGCATCCACGGCCCAGATTTTTCAGAGAGAGAGAGAGAGAGTAAACGAGAAGCACAAGTGCATGCCGTTGTGGAGCATGATGATATGAAGTGTCTCTCTTTCTGTCTTTCCCCTTCGCACGCTCGTATTAATAGCACACGACGACTAACAGATTTGCGGTCATGGAAACGTCGTTTATTATTCATGAGGACCAGCTGCCCCGGTTTCTTTTTAGACCGCTTCGAATGAAGTCTGGTGAAGGGGGATCTTGATTACCGGCCCTGTCGATTGTAATGATGCGCATCCGCGAGCATGCAGTCGACGGGGGTAATTTATTTTCCAGCGCGATTATGGCATTTAATCGAACGTGACCAATCGTCGGGTCGGTTCTTAGGTGTCACCAGGAATAAGAGACGGGATGGATTAGTTCGTCCTCGTCCCTGGTGGCTGGCACTGGCAGACCCCCCCCCCCCCCCACTTTGATCTGCTCGTGTTGGATATGCCAGCAATATTAGCCGTTTCGGTCGGCTGAGCTGAGTCTGCAATACTGTCTGCATCCGTGTACAGCACAGATCTATATTCTCAATTAGTTGGCTGCATTTGTAATCAAATCTGTCAGATGTAATTTAACTAGATCTACCAGGAACTCCAATTTGTCGGCCAAAGTTTACCCATTAATTTTTTTTTTTATCGGTACAGTCATACATACATGATTGGAATATGTGTCGCGTACATGTTCATATATATGTACAGTATGTTGCCAAATTAATTTGCAAGTCATTATGAGATTATCATAATTGTGATATTGTACAAGCATTTCTCAATCTAGGACTTAAAAACAAAGAAACGCCAAATTGTATTAATCTTAAAACAAGCTTTTGATAACGAAAATTGTATATATGCTATTTTGGGGGAACATGTATGTGTTTACAAAGGAAGCACACAAAAAAGGCAGGGCAAATTTTGGATAAACTGAAGTGTTATTTATTGGCTTTTTATGTGCGAGAAACAGAAACAAAAACATGTTCGAGAGACCACACATGCAAAATTGACTTCCAAAGTCCACCTGCTTATGTACAATGTACATTGACAACAACACTCAAAAAAAGAACAAAATGTTCTAAGCAAACAAACAACCCCCTCCTCATGTTGTCAGGATGACGATGATTCAGATACAATAGCTCACAAAAGATGACTTGTTTTGTGGTTAACTGTTCTAAAATGAGCGCTTTTGAAAGGTCATGCCTGTTGTCATTGTATGAAGTGATTGTGTGCTGAGTTGTTGGAAAACAAGCAGGCTTGTAGAATCATCACGGTTAGATTTAAATATCGCAGGCCGCTAATACACCCTCTTGTCAACGGACGCTTCTGTGTTATTCATCATCAGCTGCGCCAGCAGAAGAAAAAAAATTCACTGTTTAAAATTTAACAAATGGCAGCGCAAATATTTTGCCAGGGCATAATGGAGGCCAACGCCAGAATTGCTGGGCAATCAAAATTGTGTGGAGAAGAGCACGCTGTTTGCACAAGCAAATGGTGTTTGCAGAGTGGTGTTGGAAGAATCAGCCAAGGACTGAGTAAACATGGGCCGGGTATATAAAGAGAGCTGGTTTGGGGAAAGGGGGGGGGTTTGGGGTGGCTTGCCACAAAAAAAAATTGGAGATGTGTGGTGAGCTCAGGAGAGACTTTTGAGGATTGTAACCACACCACAAGTGAGGTTGTGCATAACATAGATGAATCCAGTACAGGGGCTGACGTCAGCACGAGCTGCAGTGTCAACGTCGCTTGGAATAGATTCTGGGTTGTAGCAAACCAGTGTCAGCAACACAAATGAGTAGTTTGTTCTCATCGGCACTCCTCGATCAATGTTCATCTTTGCCGAGCTGGGTGCGTGCACAGGCTGGGGCCACTT